ACCCCCCCCTCCCTCCCTTAAGTGGGCGGGGGGGGTTCCGACCCCCCCCCCCTCTCCCCCCCTTGAAGGGTGGGGTGGGGGGGTTCGGACCCCCCCCCTCCCCGCCTTGGCGCTGGAAAGGGTGGGAGGGGTTTGAACCCCCCCCCCTTCCCCCCCCTTGCGCCGAACAGGGTGCTGGGGAGAGGGCCTCTCCCGCAAGGTGAAGGGTCTGGCTTCGGGATAGTGAGTAGTGAGTAGAGGGTAGTCAGTCGTGAGAAGTGAGTACTGACTAGTGAGCAGTGAATAGATAGTAACGAGTAGTGAAGAGAGAGGAGTGAGAAGTGCGCGTGAGTAGTGAGTAGTGAGTAGTGAATAGTGGGTGGTGGGCAGTGAGTAGTGAGTAGTGACTAGCGAGTAGGGAGTAGCGAGTAGTGAATAGTGAGTAGCGAATAGGGCATTGTGAGTAGTGAGTGGTGAGGAGGGAGTAGTCAGTAGTGAGTAGCGAGCAGGGAGTTGTGAGTAGTGAGTAGTGAGTAGTGAGTAGTGAGAAGGGGAAAGTGGGTATTGAATAGTCGGTCGTGCGTAGGGAGTAGCGAGTAGTGGGTTGTGAGTAGTGAATAGTATGTCGTGAGTAGTGGGGAGTGAACTCTGCATAAAGAGTATTGAGTAGCGACTTGTGACTAGGTGACTAGTGAGTAGAGAGTAGGGAGTAGTGAGTCGTGAGTAGTGCGTCGTGGGTACTGAATATTGCGTATTGGGTAGCGGGTAGGGAGTAGTGAGTAGTGACTAGTGAGTAGTGAGCAGTGAGTACTGTGTAGGGAGTAGGGAGTAGCGAGTAGAGAGCACCGGATAGTGAGTAGTGAGTTCTGGGCAGTGAGTTGTGAGTTGTAAGTAGTGAGCAGTGAGTTGTGGGCAGTACTGAGTAGTTGGTAGTGGCTAGTGGGTAGTGAGTACTGCTTAGTGAGTAGTGAGTAGTGGGCATTGAGTAGTGTTTAGGGAGTAGTGAGTATTGAGTACTGGATAGTGAGTAGTGAGTAGCTTGCTGGGAGTTGTGCGTAGGGAGTAGTGAGTAGTGAGTAGCCAGAGCATAGTGAGTAGTGAGTACTGGGTAGTGAAGAGTACGTATTGGGTAGCGAGTAGGGTGTAGGGAGCGAGTATTGAGTAGTGAGTAGTGAGTACTGTGTAGGGAGGAGGGAGTAGCGAGTAGCGACTAGTGGATCGTGGGTAGTGGGTTGTGGGCAGTGAGTAGTGAGTAGTGAGTAGTGAAGTGTGAGTAGTGAGTAGTGAGTCGTGGTTTGTGGTGAGTGGCTATTGAGTAGTGATTTGTGATTAGTGAGTAGAGGGTAGTGAGTTGTGTTTAGTGAGTAGTGAGTATTGAGCAGAGGGTAGTGAGTAGTGGGTTGCCAGTAGTGAGTAATGAGTAGGGAGTAGGGGGTATTGAGTAGGGGGTAGTGGTTAGTGAGTAGTGGGTATGGAGAAGTGGGTCGTGAGTCGTGAGTAGTGAGTAGTGAGAAGTGAGTAGTGAGTAGCGAGTAGTGGGTGGTGGGTAGTGAGTAGTGCGTAATGAGTAGTGAGTACTGTTTAGGGTTACGGTTTGCGTTTAGGGTTAGGTTTTAGGGTTAGGGTGAGGATTAGTGTTAGGGGTGGTAGGGGTCGGGTTCCGGAGCTCGGGGGCGCCGTGGCGAATGGGGGGGAGGGGGAGGGTCGATTTTGGCGGCCGAAAGAGGGGGGGAGAGGGGTGGGGAGGGTCGGACCCCCCCCCTCCCCCCTTTTTGAAAGGGGGGGAGGGGGGGGGGTCCCCGACGACGGATCGGGAAAGGGGGGGGGGTCCCCGACGACGGATCGGGAAAGGGGGTGAGGGCGGGGTCCCCGACGACGGATCAGGGAAAGGAGGGGGGGGGGCAAGCCGCATGTGGGCCCAATCCCAACCCACTGGGCCCAATCCCAACCAACTGGGACCAATCCCAACCAGTGCGACAAGCAAACTGGGCCCAATCCCAACCATCTTGGGATAGCCCCACAATAGGATTTTAATTGTAGAGAAGCCCAAGACGACTGCGAAGACCAAGTGGCACCCCTTATGTCAACGCAGAGGATCTGGAAGCCAACATGCGTGCTCGAGTTGGAATTGGTCTTAGTTTGTGGTCTGCGCACGAGCACTACGTTGGGATGAGCAAGAGGGCACCGAAGCGTAAGCACATAGTAGTAGTAGTAGTAGTAGTAGTAGTAGTAGTAGTAGTAGTAGTAGTAGTAGTAGTAGTAGTAGTAGTAGTAGTAGTAGTAGTAGTAGTAGTAGTAGTAGTAGCACAAGAAGTAGAAGTAGTAGTAGTAGTAGTAGTAGTAGTAGTAGTAGTAGTAGTAGTAGTAGTAGTAGTAGTAGTAGCAGTAGTAGTAGTAGTAGTAGTAGTAGTAGTAGTAGTGGTGGTGGTAGCGATAGTAGTCGTAATCGTAGTCGTAATCGTAGTCGTAGTAGTCGTAGTAGTCGTAGTAATCGTAGTAGTAGTAGTCGTAGTAGTCGTAGTAGTAGTAGTAGTAGTAGTAGTAGTAGTAGTAGTAGTAGTAGTAGTAGTAGTAGTAGTAGTAGTAGTAGTAGTAGTAGTAGTAGTAGTAGTAGTAGTAGTAGTAGTAGTAGTAGTAGTAGTAGTAGTAGTAGTAGTAGTAGTCGTAGTAGTAGTCGTAGTCGTAGTCGTAGTAGTAGTAGTAGTAGTAGTAGTAGTAGTAGTAGTAGTAGTAGTAGTCGTAGTAGTAGTAGTAGTAGTAGTAGTAGTAGTAGTAGTAGTAGTAGTAGTAGTAGTAGTAGTAGTAGTAGTAGTAGTAGTAGTAGTAGTAGTAGTAGTAGTAGTAGTCGTAGTAGTAGTAGTAGTAGTAGTAGTAGTAGTAGTCGTAGTAGTAGTAGTCGTAGTAGTCGTAGTAGTAGTAGTAGTAGTAGTAGTAGTAGTAGTAGTAGTAGTAGTAGTAGTAGTAGTAGTCGTAGTCGTAGTCGTAGTCGTAGTAGTAGTAGTAGTAGTAGTAGTAGTAGTAGTAGTAGTAGTAGTAGTAGTAGTAGTAGTAGTAGTAGTAATTCCGAAAGCATCCTAAGGAATTCCGAAAGCATCCTAAGGAATTCCGAAAGCATCCTAAGGAATTCCGAATGAATCCCAAGGAATTCCGAAGGAGTCGTAAATAATCCTGAGGAATTCCGAAGAATTCGAAGGGATCCGGAAGAATTCCGAAGATCCCATCTGTGGTTGGAATTGGTCTCATTTTTGGTTGGGTTGGAATTGGTCTCATTTGTGGTTGGAATTCGTCTCTTTTCTGGTTGCAATTCGCTCCGAACGGTTGGAATTGGAACTAGTCGGTTGCAATTCGTTCCATTTCGGGGGCAAGCCCCCCCCCCCTGGGGAGATCCAGCGGCGCGCCCTCCGTGACTAGCTCCTGCTACGGGTCCCAGGGCTCCTCGTCCTCTCCTGGCTTTGCTGCGGGTGACGAACTTCCCGCGGATGGCGTGTCACGCATGCGCCTACGCACCGGCATCTCGAATGGCTCCTTTGGGAAAGCACTTCTCGCTTTGAACTGCCCCATGGCCATTGCGATCTTCTTCAGGGCCTCCTTCAATCCCTTCTGCTGCGCGCTGACCACGTTGAAGAGATTCTGCCTGAAAGAGGCCATGTCCTGCGTGACGAAGTGGGGCGGGTTGCTGATGCGCTCTGCGAGCTCCTCTCGGCAATTCACGATGCGCCTGCACTCGCAATTCAGCGAGGTGTCCGCCGAAAAGAGTTAAACAACGGATATCATCAACACAATTTTTGAACTATTGAAAACTTCCCATCCAGCGGGAGAAGAAGCAAACACACAACCCCTCACAAAAATGCAGCTCATAACTGTAAACATTAGCCGTTGAACATAACCAAATAACACATTGCACAACCTTGTAAGATCCAGTAACACAAACTCACACAGTCGTATCGCATCGTACTGTCTAATATCATCGTACCAAAGAGGGCCACGTCACTACACTGAAGACCCCATCGTACCGCAGGGAGGAAAGGAGAGAGAGGTGTCGTCGTACAGTGCACGCAGACGTAGCCATTTTTGGGTTGGTTTCGCAGGTACACCTTTCCCAATCCAGTTGAACTCCAATGTCTTTCGTTTCTGTTCTCTGCAGTGCTTGGCTAAGGTGTAAAGGCGTCCCGTGGGGCCTCCAGAGCTTCCTTCTGCAATTGTTTGAGTTTGTCGAGCCTTTCTGGGTCCATGATGATTTGCTGGGCTAGCTTGTGCTCTCTCGTTTTTCCTACAGAAGTCTCTGGACACCTAGCCTCGTCTACGGGGGCTTCCTCCCTGGGAGCCGTCGCAGGAGGGGCCCAAGAGCTGGCCTGGGAACAGCCTGGGCGAACTGCGTAAACCTGTGAGGCGCAGAGTGCCCTACTCAACGTGCCCGCCTGCCAGTGGCTGCCTGAAGCTGCCTCTCCACCACCCTCTCGAGCTCGGTCTTGGGGCCCGCGCTCACGCTCTTGATCCACCCCGCCTTCTGAAGCGTGCAGCTCATCTCCTGCTTCATGAGGTCGGCGCGGTAGTTGTCCAGCTTCGCTGTGTCCTCGTTGGTCGTCGTCTCGTTCAGCGCCACGCGCAGCTGGGGGCTCATGTTCACTGCAATGGTGAGCTTTCCCTTCGCGTCCTCGGCTCCTGCTCCGTTCCCGTTCTGGCCGCCGGCTTTCTTCTTGTTGTACGTTTCCGCCGCCTTGCAGGCCATGAACGTCTCTGTGACGATCTGGAAGGGGCTTCTTGGAGGTCTTCGCCATGTCTAGCCACTCCGTCAAGATATGCTGGGCCCATTCGTACGTCTCCACTGGGGCCCCCAAGAGTTTCTCGTTCTCCAAGGATTCGACCATCCCTTCGACTAGGGCCATAGCCACCTGCGCATGTGGGGGCCCGTAGTTGTGGCCCCTGCCTGCGTCTCGCACCCTCTCTCTGTACAGGCGGCCCGCGTCGAGCGACTGGAGGGAGAAACCTGTTTGGCGGGGCCCAGCCAGAAGTCGGTGTTCATGTGCAGTAGCTCTCGGACGTCCATGGCCGAGCGCAGGCAGGGCCTCTGCAGCGATGTCATCGACTGGCCTAAATCTGCCAGGGGGCTGAGCGGGCGACCTCCTTCGCCGCGCCTCCCCCCTCCGTCTGGCGGGCCGCTGGACCCTGCGCCCGTCTCGCCCGTTCCCTCGTGGCTTGCGCTGGGGCCTGGCTGTCCCTTTCCTCTGAAGACCTTCTGCAAGCCGTGATCCTCGACTCCCCCCAAGGCCGTGTCTCCTCGCTTGAGTCGCCAGCTGGTGTCCATGTCCTGCTTCTGCAGTCTCAAAGCCTGGGTCCGCGTGGGCAGCCCTCTCTGGCCCTGGGTGGTGGGTACGCAG